GCTGGCCGAGACCGGCTTCGAGGCCGAGGCCTGGGCGGCGGCCGAGCGGGTCGCCGCGCTGGAGGCCCGCCGTCAGCGGCTGAGCACCCAGGAGCAGCTCTGGATGCTGCTGGCGGCGCGCGCGCTGACGCCGGCGGGCACCGGCGACCTGGCCCTGAGCGTGGACGGAGCGCCGGTGGAGGCGGCCGCGCCGCTGACCCTGCGGCCCGATGCGGCGGCCCTGGCCGAGGGCGTGACGCTGACCAACCGGGGCGAGGCCGGCCTGCGGGTCACCACGACCCGCGTGGGCGTGCCCGACGCGCCGCTGCCGGCGGCCAGCGAGGGGCTGACCGTCGCGCGGCGCCTGCTGGACTTCCAGGGCCGCGAGATCGACCCCGGGACGCTGGAGCAGAACGACCAGGCCGTGGTGGTGCTGACCGGCCGGGTGACGGACGGCCGCGCCCATCAGGCCCTGGTGGTCGACCTGCTGCCGGCCGGCGTCGAGCTGGAGTCCGTGCTGGCCGGGCGCGGCACGGCGAACGACGGCTTCGGCTTCCTGCCGGAGCTGACGGCGCCGCTCTACGAGGCGCGGCGCGACGACCGCTATGTCGCGGCGCTGGACCTGGCGCCGGAGGGGCGCTTCGTCCTGGCCTATGTGGTGCGGGCGGTGACGCCGGGCGACTTCGTGCTGCCGGCGCCCTTCGTCGAGGACATGTACGCGCCGGAGGTCTACGCCCGCGGCAGCCTGGGCCGCCTGACGGTCTCGCGGCGGCGCTGAGCCGGGCGCGGCGGCGATGCGGCACGGGCGCGGTCTCTGCCTGCTGGTCTCGGCGGTCCTGCTGCTGGTCGCCGGGGGACGGGTCGGGCTGCTCCAGCTCGACCGCGCCTTCCCGCCGGACCTGAGCCGGGCCGCCGCCACCTCGACGCTGGTCGCCGGCGCCGAGGGCGAGGTGCTGCGGGTCTTCGCCACGCCCGACGAGAAGATCCGCCTCGGCCCGCCGGGCGACGGGGCGGCGGGGCTTGCCGCAGGGCGCAGCTCGGCGGGGCCGCTCTCGGGGGGAGCGCTCCCGGGGGGGGCGCTCTCGGAGGTCGACCCGCTGTTCCTGAAGCTCCTGGTGGCGGTGGAGGACAAGCGCTTCTGGCGGCACGGCGGCGTCGACCCGCTGGCCGTGCTGCGCGCCGCGGCCCAGGCGGTGCGGCACGGGCGCATCGTCTCCGGCGCCTCGACCCTGACCATGCAGGTCGCGCGCCTGCTGGAGCCGCG